TGGATACTACGCTCTGAGTAGTAATAGTAGTATGGACACATTTAGTGAAATTTACAAAGATGATTTTAATCCAATGAATCCTTTCGAGAATTTACTGCTACAGGATTATCGAAGCTGTAGTTCTCAAGATTTCAAGTTAATTGCTCATCTTCACACTAGCACAAAATACATATTAGTGGTGACAACACGTTATCAAAATATAACAGGAAACTTTTCCATTCTGGCATCTGGACTAGATAACATTACTCTTGATCCTTACAGTAAGTATTTTATATTATTTGTGAATCATGAACAGCGAAGTACAACATTTCACTAAACTCGATTTTCACTCTTGGATAATAAAAAATCTGAGAGTTTTAAATAGTTGGTATAATTCAGTAGAATTATTGTTCAAAAATAAAATAGAATCGAAACTTTCTCTTTTGAAATTCAGCAATTTTCTTCCAATCAGATAAGATTAAGTCTTTATAATGTAGCTTAGCCGTGATTAGGTTGATTGTACAAGGTAAATTTTCTTCTCGAACCAATAATATATTCAAGAAGACCTGTTCTTTAGTGATTTCACACTGTCTGAGATTTTATTACGTTGCACTCTTTGAAAATTTATTGAGTTCATATGCAAAAACATCTTTACAAAAATGAGTGAAATCATCATGAGATATCGAATAGAAAGCAGAAATATACAAATTTAACCTCGACTATACATACCATGTATAGATAAATGACTTTTATAAACTATTGATACTTATAAACTTGCCAGAGTATGACTTTGTTAAGTTGAGAAAGATTGAATTTGTCTCTTAATAACCATGGATTTCTTTCTCCAGCTCAAGTTTTGACCAGTTGTTTCACTGACCAAAAATGTCAGTTCTACAAAAAAAGTATCGGTGTCACTCTCGATGATATTTTACATGACGAAATTCGACCGAATATGACATTGACTGATCAAACAATGCTGATGAAAATCAATACCGCTTTAACGATGATTATGTTTGTTGGAGGTTTAATCAATAGTATTTTGTCTCTAATAACATTTCTAAATAAAGATTTACGACAAACTGGATGCGGTATCTATCTCTTAGCATCATCAATTACATCTTTTCTTACAATCAGCATGTTTACAGTGAAATTTTGGTTTGTTATTCTCACTCAAATGAATCTATCAATTCGTCTTTCTATTGTTCGAGGAGGTTGTGTATCGATCGAACCTCTTCTCAAGCTTTGTCTATATGTAGATGCTTGGCTCAATGCTTGTGTCGCCATTGAAAGAGCGATCCACGTTTTCAAAGGAATCAACTTCAATAAACAAAAAAGTCAACACATTGCTCGATGGATAATTCTCATCTTACCATTCTGTGTCATGAGTTCGATCATTCACGAACCTATACATCGAGAATTACATGAAGTAAAAGAGATACACAGGATAGATATCGATAGATGGTGTATAACTCGTTATTCTCCCTCTGTTCAACAATACAATACAATCATCTTATTTTTTCATCTTGTCACTCCATGTATTATCAATCTTTGTTCTGCTTTATTCATCATCTTCGGATCAGCTCGACAACGATCAACAGCTCAAGCAAGACTAACTACGAGAGAACATATTTATAATCAATTTAGTGAACACAAACAACTATTAATCAGTCCAGTTATTCTTCTAATTCTATCCTTACCCCGGCTGATTATGTCAATGTTATCAGAATGTGTCAATCCATCGAATCATCGATTGTTATTTATTATTGGCTATTTCGTTTCATTTACTCCATCGATGCTTATCTTTATTGTTTTTGTCCTTCCTTCATCATTGTATAGAGAAACATTTCAAGAAACATTCAGACAATGGCGACGACGTTTTCATCAATAATCAATATTTCTTTATTATTTCGGAATTTTCTAATTTATTCATATAGTATTCGTTTCGATTTGATAATTAATCGATATATGTTGATCAACCAGAACATTTTCCGTCTTTTGCATAGACTATCGAGTGATGAAAGATAAACTTGAGATGTAGGCGAGGATTTATTTTCCACGCTCATCCACGATCATATCGACCTGTCTTCATTGTCAACCTTAGTTTTGAACGATCGATTAAAATATTAAGAGAAAATCTCACAAGTTTCGACAGTGTTGTCACTGAAAAAAATTATCATATTAATATTTCAGCTTCTTATTCAATAAAATTTTATATCAATGTAATTTTCACCTCTGAGAATATTATTCATAAATTGGATGTGGGTATTCTATTTCACGTGAACTTTCATCCACATTCACACCCAAAACAACGACATATTAATTATTAAAAATTGATTGTGTAGAAAATGAAGTAGTTTGAATAAAATTTGATTATAGAAATGCTTGATTTATATCAATTCTGCTACAAGGTAAATAGCAATTTAACCACTTTCTAATACGTTAGACTCGATGACAAAGATCTATCATCGAACTGTTATTCGTTTATAATTTAAATTAATTAACCACTAACTCATGCATATTCTTTATTGTCTATCAAAGTACTATTTATAATGGTCTTTAATAAATAAAAGAAAAACGCAAATTATTTTATATTATTTCACACATATCGAAAAAAGAACTGAGAGAGTATATTTCATCTATTTGATTTTTCGATTTCAAATTTTAATTTTATTTGAGGGTGTAGGTGTGGATATCCTATTTCATTCACACCCTCAATGTCTGATTTCATTAATAATATTGTTGTAGATATTACGGAATCTATATAGTATGATAAATTCCGTTTCAGTAGATTAAATATGCTATACAACAATTGCAATACTAGATAATATTTAAATTCCCTTCAAGTGCGAAATGAGTATTCGTTTTCTGCAGATGACTATATACAATGGGGTAAGTCTTCCTAAAAAATATTTGTGATCTAATACAAACTGTACTCTAAAGCTACGTTTTCATCAACTAGTCGAAATCGAAAAGAATTTAGTAGTTGACATCAGGAAATTTGTCAGTTTCTCTGTCAACATGTTTCTAAAGAAAGTCATCGATTGATTATTTAATTAAGTTTCACCCACACCCACTAACATAATTATCCTCTTTGAATAGAAAGAGAGACATAACTTCTTATATCATCTTTTGATAAACAATTTATAATAAAGATAATGAGAAAATATGTAACATGTAATCAATAATAGAACATTAAAATAATTTATTGAAAGAAATAATAATTTTGAAAACTATCAATATAAATGATATATCGTATATCTACAAGTAGTATCTAATAAAAACAAAAAAAACATTGAATTATTATTTCATTGTAAAGCTGAATAATTGATCCTGATATTGTTTTATCTGTATATTTTAATTCTCTTCAAAAGAAAACCGCGCTACCATCATTAAAGCTCTTTCCTGGAAATATACATCACGTTTATCGAATATTTAGATTTTTATTATCGCTTAGTATTGTTCTGAAGAATCATTATTTTCAGATGGCAACAGATGCTCTTATTGATTAAATATTTTCTAAAAATAAAAGAGAAGGCAACAAGTTGTTTTTATTCATCACGTTAAACAAATATCTCTAAATATATCCGCTCATTGCGCATATAATATTTGCGAATAATAACTGATAGAAAAAAAGTTTTTCAATAAAGTTTTATGCATCGAAATTAAAGATTAAATTATTAGAATTGAACCGAATAGCTGTACTTGTTATCGTTGAATTTTTATTTGAAATAATTGCAAACTGTTACCAATATGTAAAAAGAGCAAAAAATAGCAAATAGATTTGTTTCATCATATTAATAGGATATTTGATGAATGGATGCATCTGTTGTTTTATAAAAACTATTTATTTCAAGGCAAATTTAACGATAATGGTGGACTCATTCACATCTCACATAACTATATAAGGACGTGGAAATATCAGAACAATTATTAATTTTCTACTTTGATTTAACTGATTTTTGTGTTGTTCAACAAAAAATGTCTTCATATTGCCTCGCATTTGTGGCGATTATCGCTGTAATCAGTAACATCATTGTCCATGCTCAATTTGATGACAGTAAGTGCACATCTACACTTTATATTTTTATAATGAGTCAATTTATCCCCATCAAACACAATAATCACTTGCGAAAGTTTTTTATTTTCAATACCCTAAATTTGTCATTATTTTTATTTCGCTCACAGTGTAAGTTACAAACATTAAGATTAGTTACAGATTCTTGTGGATTCACGGGAAGAATTACTGTTACGTGACCTTTTGTAAGATTCGTGAGACGAAAAAGAGTTCTGTATATAACCACGTAACCGTTTAGATACCATACGAATTTTTGAGGATTTACTACAAAAATGTTCCGTGTATCGACGAGGGAAAACCATTTAATGTTTCGCAGTTCGTACCAAAGTTAAAATCGACCCACCTCTTAATACAAGTAAATCGTTGTACTGTTACTTACGTAGATATACTCCTGTAACTTTATCCTTGAAGATACATCTTAATAATTGAACTTCTAGACCTACATGTTCACAACTATAGCTTTAAAGCAGTGTCTTTAGCATTTACATCTATAAAAAGTGTGTTGAATAAAACGACAAGAGTTGGTTTTGAGTATACAAATGACACAAGTCATTATCGTACCAAAAGGCGTAGGCAATCATTCTCATTCGAGCGAGTTCGTATTAAACTAATGTGTTGACCATTAAAATTATGATTTTTTACTTGTGCCTACAGTTTGCTTAGCGCACCGATATAGTGTTAAACCGATAGATGGCATGATCGAATAAAGTTATAGGATCATGCAGGATCGTACATCGGACTTGTTGATTTGGAATGTCGCTTATATGAAGTCTTTATTAGTTAAATTTGAATAAATTTGAATAGAAAAGAAGTTTTGGCGTGAAAAATTTTGACTCGAAAAGTCTGTACTCTTTGTATTACTAACTGGTCAACTTTGAATTAAGATAGATCGTAACTTCGTATTAGAAGATTTGAATTAATATTAAATTACTAATTTCTTTCAGCAATGATGGCAGTAGATTTCGATGGTCCACCTCCACCTAAATGTCCGACTGCAGATTCAGATACAATGACAAGCTCAATCACTATTCCCGGTGTAGATTTGGCATTACTGAGAGCACAAAAGAATTCTTTTGAATCATGTTTTACCAGCCAGTTACAATTATCATCGCCTTCAAATATTAAAGCAGCAGTGGAGGTGCATAAAATCCAACAGTTAGACAGTGGTGACTGTAAAATATCATACAGATGCTCAGGAGTCGGTGATCAGCCTTCAGCTGAAACTTGTTTGGGTACAATACCAAATAGTGATGCATTCCAAGCCATTCTTGCAAAATGTTATCGCGTCCAAAGTTAGTGAGTGAAATGATAGCGAGCATGTTGATGAAAGGACACAGAAAGTTGTAAAGTTATAAAGATCATGTTTTGTGTGATTGAACTGTATTTTCTTTTTGTCCTCTCTATGTTCTACTATTTTATGGAGATGGCTTAAAGATTTTCTTTTCTTCGTTATATTCATGCGTTCGTTTTGATTTCTAATTCATCATATATACACATCCATGATTCTTTTCGAATAAAACGACGAAGGATACTATAGGGAACAATTATCTCACTAATATAAATAATCAAGCTTCAACAACAATGAAGAAAGTAGTTGAAATATCAAATGTGTGTAAAAAATGTCTTATATGTCTTATAATACTTCACATTTCTTAAACAGAAAGACACTATACATGATAAAGATAACAAATTCATGTTAATGTGATGATCATTTCGTACATATTGCTGCTTCGGTTTATTTAATTTTCATCTAGAGGTCTTAATTGTATCTTATAATGGGTGTTGTTTCAAAATTTTAAATTTTATGCATCATCATCGTGAATAACAGAGACAATGTTGAGTGTGTGGGTGTTAGGGCTCTTCTGCTCTCAGAACTACACACCCACCCTTTCAAAGAAATAAGCTTATCAAATTCTCTCTAATATGTCTACACCTTTTACTTATTGTGTCTTCTATGATTAATAAACTTCAAGTAAATTTTTTTCGGATTTCTTACCAACACGAAAGTTTTCACTCAGCATTACACTCTTTGATGGAAAATTGTGAAAACAGATTTTTATAAAATAAAACAAATGATGATCTGCCTTTTCAAAAAAGATCTATTGATTATTAAGTAATAATCTCAATATATGAGGAGAAGTTATTGAATAAATAGAATTGTGTTTGTGAGTTAATTTCAATAAGCCAATAAAACGCTGACATTGTTACTCCATTCATTTGTGACTATAATGTCGGGTTTGCTGTCGTTATTGACATCGACCACTACCACTTCTCGGGGATTGTTGCCAGTTGGATAAGTTGCTTGTGCAGTAAATATACCGTTACCTATGTTGAGAAGAATACCGACATTATTACTAAAATAGTTCGCGATAATAATGTCGGGTTTGCCGTCATTATTCACATCAGCCACTGCCACATTTAGAGGATGGGATCCAGTTGAGTACGTTGTTTGTTCAGTAAACGTGTTATTACCTGTGTTGAGAAGAACACCGACGGTGTCACTACCGGAGTTTGTAACAATAATGTCTGGATAGCTGTCGCTATTAACATCGGCTATTGCTATACCGTAAGGACCACTGCCAGTTAAGTAAGCTGTTTGTTCACTAAATGTGCCGTTGCCTATGTTGAATAAAACACTAACGTAGTTACTATCATAATTTGGAACAATAATGTCTGGTTGGCCGTCTTTATTGACATCAATCACTTCTACACTGTATGGATGGATGCCAGTAGAGTAAGTTGTTTGTGAAGTAAATGTACCGTTGCCGATGTTGAGGAGAACACCGACATTGTTACTACCGGCGTTTGGAACAATAATGTCTGGTTTGCCGTCGTTATTGACATCATTTATTACCACACTGTATGGACCTACGCCAGTAGAGTAAGTTGTCTGTGCAGTAAATGTACCGTTGCCGATGTTGAGGAGAACACCGACGTTGTTATCAAAAACGTTTGAGACAATAATATCAGGTTTACTGTCGTTATTGACATCGACTACTTTTACACTGTTTGGCGATGTGCCAACTGAGTAAGTTGTTTGTGCAGTAAACCTACCGTTGCCGATGTTTAGGAAAACACTGATAGTGTTACTTTTAAGGTTTGTGACAATAATATCGGGTTTACTATCATTATTAACATCAACTACTGTCATACCGAACGGGCCTGAGTCAGTTGAGTAAGTTGTCTGTGCCATATATATTGTATTGCATTGAACTATTGCAAAGAAAAATTGTTTTTTAGCATATATGCGGAGATACAAAGGTAACGTCTCATTGGTGCCTTTTAATTTGCCCCTCTTGAGGGTGTGGGTAGGTGAAAAGAAGATGAATCTAGACTCACACTTACCGTGTATAATTATGCCCTTAAATTAAATAAAAATCGATTATTTCATGCATAAATACAGGTTAAAACTCGTCTATCTTAATAAAATCATAACCTACTTTTTTCGTTGTAAAGCTAAATTTTCATTCCTTTTCACATACAATCTTAGCTTAATGCTTTGCGAATTCTTTTTCATGTTTTATTCATCTTGTAATTATTATCGACTAGAAATATTTACTATGTGAATTTTGTGATGATGTGAGTGTGGAGGACACGAAGAGACATTCACACCCAGACCTACACCCTCAAGATGGAATGAGATAGATCAAAAACTCTGTTTAATTCAAAACGAGCATTTAATGATATTAAGAAGCGTTACTATACTGCTTACCGGATTGTTGAGTCGTCATTGTAGTTGTAGTTGTGAAGGTGGTGGTGATTGTTGCTATTTATTACAATAAAATAATTTATATAAATAAAGGAGATAGTATGAATCTCAAATAGTTTTTGGTGCATCGATAGTGTTAATGCTATTTAAAAGATCAATTTGAATATTCCGAACATGGATTCATTTGGTTCTTGTACTCTATTGGATTGAACTATGAAAGCCGAAGTATTTTATCTAGGTATCAGTTTATCTATTATTTTAACGAATTCTCAGTTCTTCCTCACTAGTGGATAACGTGAGGACGACAAGGAAATGCCTCATCATATATGCTCGACGTCCTAATGAATATAAATCTAACTGACTATTGTCTTACTTGCTGTCGAAGGACAGACTGGTTGATCAACCATTGACAATGGGTAACACAATGGAAGATCATCGCATCGAGGATGTCGAACACATATAGTATCAGATCGATCGCATGCATTAGTCGACGAGTTACATGGTGTAAGTTGAGAACAAGTCGCCCAGAGGAAACCGCGAACGCTAATATCATTAGTATTTACCCTCTGGAAGCAACCACAGGCACTATTCATTGAACATCGAGCATATTGATCAACGCTCTGACAAATATTAGATGTCACTAGAATTATAACGAAAGAAACTAATCGATAAACATCGAGAATAGAATAAATATTAAACCTATGTCACTAAAATAGACAAATATTATATATATTAGAAAAATGAACAAAAAAAAGTGAATATTATTTACGTGAAAAGAACAAACATGAAATGAAATATAATATTTCTAATCATATTGTGTATTGGAAGAAGTCAATATCATAAATGAATCTCGTTGTTCTTCCGAATACATATATAGTGTTTTAAGCCATATCAATTGAAAAACAACAAGCTCATAGGTTAATGCTTCTATAAATGGAAACTTGATCTTTCTCTTAATATTTCAAAAATATACTAATTCTATTTAATATAAAAAATCGAAAAATATATGGGATTATAAAATAGACACATCATCATACAATAGATGCGCAGTTAAATATATTTTCTTGCTCTAATAAAAAATTTTATTCAATACTGGCTTTTGATTTGCACATAGTAAGAGTGTGGTTATCAGTGTCTTTGTGAATACGATTGTTCGCTTTGACTACGTACTCACACCCGTACTCTCAAGACAAATTATCGAATAGTTTAATTATAAGAATATTACAAAGATCTCAAGAAAATAGTACATTATATGTTACATATTACACTGCTATTCTTAATACAAATACGTTTAATGAAACTTGTTTTTTTAATAATCAATGCCACAAAATACTCAATTGTATAGAATAAATTAGATTCTGTTAACTAAAAATATTCTTTTGTTATTCTTTATGTAATTGAAACATTTATTTTTACAGAAACAAATAAGGTTTGAATGTCTCTACAAAAATGTATATGATGGAAACTAACGAATTACAAAATTTACTGCCGTTGTAAATAGTTGTTTACAAATACAATTTTCTTTTTTTTTTGCAATTATAATTACAAGTTTTTTCTTTTTTTTCTTAGAATAAAGTATATGATTAAGTTAGATAAATCTAATGACCACAATGGAGAAAAATTCATTTTTTTGTATTCTAGCTGAAACGTTGATTTTTCATCTCAAATGTTCGTGAAAATGAATTAAAAAGCTTCTATAGTTCGTGTTTCTTTTTTTCTCTCGCTCAATAGCTCAGTTTTCATCTCTATTATTTCTAGATTGATTTCCTAACAAGAATATTAAATCAAAAGGTTTAAGAGATTTTCAATTTTACTAAATGAATTATTAGTATTCTGTTGTATGGCTCATTTCCTTACAATATATCGTGATCATTAGTTTACCCCAATTATAATTCATATAACTTACCGGAGGGTGTGTGTATTATATTCATTCACCCACACCCACTCTTACTTTCACATCCCACACAATTTTCCTCTGAAGTACAATCCATTAATTATTCTAAGAAAAATAATTAGATCCTAGTTTCAAGTATGATCATTTCTAAAAATTCAATACTGTACCATCAGTCAAAATATATTATTTCCTACAGAAAAAATAATTGCTTTTTCTTCTATCATTTTGTAAGTTTAATAAGAATATTGGATATTAATTCACCTTTATAGTTCTTATAAGGACAGGACAATCCATCATCTTTCTTCTTCCATAACCATGTCGTTGGATTGACTACTGCTAATTCTTTTCCTTGTAATATATTCAAATAAATATGACGTGTAGCTTCACTATTAACTTGAACAAATGCATAATGAAAATTACGAATATCTCGTGCATAATTATATAATGTTTTCCGTAATTTCGTAGCAATACCTTTGCCTGAATGAGATACTCGAGTAGCACCGAGTGCTATGTGCAATAATATTCCAGATGTTAATTCTTGATTAAAATCGTGACAAATGAACTCATGGGCCATTTCATCAAGTAAATCATCAAGAGGAATCCATTGTGGAGGACTATTAGGTTCATATGGATGCTTTTGCTGATGTAAATACATATCACCTGCAAGAATGACACCAACAATTTCACCTGAAGATTGATGTCGAGACAGAAATGATAATCGTTCATTAAGTACTTCTTTTAACATTGGCCACATTAATATATCATAATATTGTTGAATCGACATACGATGGTAAATATCAATTGAATTGTGTAAAACAAATTCTTCAGCTAATAACTGAGCACAATCTCGAGCATCGGATTCATTATCGATTATTTCATATGTATACTCATCACTATCAGCCATAGTTTAAAAAAGATAAAAATATATAGTCAACCAAACCGAATAAAATACGCCATTTAAATATAGTACTGATAACGTCTTGGTTGACTTTTTTAGGCATAGAGTACGGTAATGATAAGAACGTAAAACAATAAAAGGTAATGAAGAAGATGAAAAGATCTAACAAGAAATTACTGTATTTCATGTCAACATAGATACTATGTCATTATTCATAATATAGGTTGCTACTTTTCTGTTGACTTTGGTATAATCAAGAAAAAAATCCATTAAAATGACTTCAATTACACTCTCCATGTGACAATTAGTGTTACTTGTATATTGCAAAAATAAGAACGAAGGAAAGAAAAAACAGTGAGTCAACGATAAATAGTATCATAGATCATAATGTAAAATATTTGTATGCATCAATGATTTTCATCAGTGACTACGACATGTGGCGAGTAGAAAAAACGAAGAATCCACGCAGTTTTTGTAACGATAAACAATGTGTATGAGAAATTATATATGACTGGCGTATCAATTGTATCATTTTGAGTATTAAAAGTAAGGATTTTTACCGTTATTTCACATTTATGTCGACCAACGTAGCATGTTGTGACGATAATAAAATGTATTGAGACATAAAAATAATGTGTTTTTGCTTGTTTATGTCGAGAGTATAAACAGCTTCAAAGATCTCTTTATCCTAGTGAAAAGTTCATATATATTTTTATACAATAAATATTTATATTCATTCCATATAGACATTCAAACAAGTATCCAATGACTTCAAACTACGAACCGATTTCTTCTGAATCTCTTCCGCAACAAGAATTACCTTCGCAAAGCAAAGTTTCTACATGGGACACATTCAAACATCATATTCCTCGTATTATTATTACTTGTATCATTGATGTATTTGTTCCACTTGTAGTTTTTTTTCTTCTTGAAAATCATGTCAAACCCGTCTTTGCTCTTTTGGCGGCTAGCAGTCCTCCTTTATTTATGATTGCTTACAAGGCTATATGGGAACGCTCGTTCGATTCTATGGGTTTTGTTGTCTCTACCTGTCTTATTACTACGGCTATCTTTGCATTGGCGTTTAACAGTCCTTACATCCTCTTGTTAGAGAAGTCACTACTTACTGGTATAGGAGCAGTTGTATTTACTATTACATTGATGCCGTTACAATGTTGTCCGAAGCAGTTTCAATGGCGTCCATTGGCCTATTATTTCTATTTTGATTTAATACCAGTTAATCGAACAGAATTTGGATTGCCAGATAGTGTGTTCGACAATAATGAATACACAGAGCTCACAAGTGAGAATAACAAAGGAAAAATTTCGAGGATGAAAGAAGCAACTCAAGTCTATGCATGGGTCTATGATCATTCTTCATCATTTCGTATTTCATGTTATTTTATGACAAGTGCTTGGGCGGTAGCCTTCTGCCTCGATTTTATTATTCGATTTATTCTTATTTGTTCAGATTTATCAATAGATCAGATTTATTACTGGGGACAAATTACATTCTGTATACTAGCAGTTTTATGTCTTATCCTTCAAATTTGTACTATGATAATCGAACGAAAACATACATTAGCATTTATTGAACAATGGAAAATAGAAAATTTAACACCCTCGCTATCAACTCCATCCAGATGACAATATATCTGAGAAAAAAATTTTCTTATGTGTTTAACTAGCTTTAATAAAAGAGCCTTTTTTCATACTTTTCAATATATTGTAAACGTCATATCTCATTTCGAGAATTAACTCACAAGAGAATTACACGAAGTAGTGACTCAGTTTAGAGCTCATACTTTAAACACAAGTCATTATGATCAAAAAACTGTCACAATACTAAGATATGAATGTGGGTATAGATATTGCTTTTACGATAGCTTTAAGATTTTTATTTGTGAAGTAAGTATATACTACAGGTGGAGTATCTAGTTGATGATCATTTAAAGTGATCGAAACGTTGATATAATAGTTGTTATTTACATTATTTCTGAACTTACTCATTTCACAACAAAAATCTTGAAATTATCGTATTATTTATAATTTATCTCATAAATTAAATTGAATTAAATATTGCTTTTATTATTCGTAATTCTCATCCTTAAGATGGTATATTTTGAAGATCAGAAGGAAAATTTAAAGAATTTATTTTAATACTGTATTCAAAGAGTGTTATGCAATTTAAAACGCTCAGTATATAAAGATAAATATTCAAAGCAAGAATTTTTATCATAAACTCATTAACTATCGTTATATTTCTTTTCTTTCTCTCTCTTCGTTATGTATTATATAGATAAAAAAAATGTTAAGTCATCAAAAGAATTCACATGTCTATCGTTTTCTTTCATATTTTATCATTTTTTTGTTGAATAAAAAATGTCCTCATGTTTCACTTTCGATGAAATTAAAACACTCATTCCTACTCTCAATCAATTACCTCCTCTACCTACTCATCCACTTCCAATCTATAGTATTGGTGCTGGTTCAATTGTTAATAGTTCACATCTTCCATGTTATCAATTATTTAAATTTCAAGTTCATGGTATCTATGATCAAAATCAAGATGTTGCCAAGAAAACAGCTGAAAAATTTAATATTCCAAAAGTATTCAATTCACTTGATGAACTTATTGCATCTGCAGAAAAAGAATCAAGTAAAGTTATTTATGATATAGCAATACCTGCTACTGAAATATCTACAATTCTTCAACAATTACCAAATGATTCATTTGCTCTCGTACAAAAACCAATGGGTGAAACATTTGAACAAGCAAAGGAAATCAAACGTTTATGTAAAGAAAAAAATATACATATTGGGATTAATTTTCAATTAAGATATGCACCACAAATGTTAGCTGTAAAAGATCTTTTGAAACGAGAAGTTCTAGGAAAAAAATTAACAACAATTGAAATACATGTCAATACACATACACCATTTGAAAATTGGAAATTTTTAGAAAAAGTAAATTCAAAATTTTTTGTGTATCGATATGTCTTCTTTGTTTTAGGTCACACATATGGAATTGACTTATCATTCTATTCATTATATTGATCTTATACGTGATCTTCTTTCGCCATGGGAACCAACATCTGTTCAATGTCATTCATGTAAACATATTAATCAACCAAAATTGGATAGTGTTCGTACACATTTATCACTTAGTTATGAAAATAATGATCCTCAACTCTATGTTACTATACATACAAATCATTTTCATACTTGGGGTATCAAATATGCTGATAGTTATTTAAAAATTGAAGGAGCACAAGGTGTTTTACGTGCACAAATGGGATTACAATTAGAATATGGGGATCAAAGAGATCCAGATCGATTAGAATTATCTACGAATGAAATGAATGGTCAATGAATTGATATTCCACTTAAAGGAAATCGTTTTCCTAATTCATTCATAGGACCAATGAGTAGTGTAATCAGAATGGCACAAGGAGAAACAGAGAAAATATTAACCTCTGAAGATGATGCAATAAAAACAATGGCTATTGTTGAAGCTGCATATCAAAGTACTTTAAATCAAACAAAAATTATATATGATAATACGAAAGATAACTCATAAAATTATATTTAATCCATTTCTTTTCAGAAAAAAAACCGAAAAAAAAATTTTGTAAAAAAATAATTTTTTGGTAAAAAAATAATTTTTTGGTAAAAAAACAAAATTTGGTAAAAAAACAATTTTGATTAATATTATTTTTTCGATGTCATGACACTTATGTTTAAAAAAACAGTTTATACATAATGTAAACAAGCGCCATCTAATCTATTTTAACAGAACGAAAAAGATATGTGTTATAATTGGTAAAGACGTTTACCAAGAAAAGAATAGATGTGACTGAATGGAAGTATCTGTGTATCGTAATATTTAATTTATCAGAAGAATATAAAATAAATAATTGTTCATCGATCGAACTATTTAATCATATGTTACAAAAAATTTAAAAAAGAAATTTTTTTTTCAATTATATTCACTGCTTGTCAGATTTTATAAACAGTGTAAAAAGAAAAACCAATCAAATAAATTTACATGTTTTTTTTAGATGTTTTTATTTTGTAAAAATCTGCTTATTTTGATTGTTCAAAGAAAAAATCGATTATTTATTTAGTCGACATTAAATTTTGCAACAAAATATCGTAGACTTTTGTAAATTATCTTGATTCTGAAGGTATTCATTAAATATTTATGTTTTATGCTTTATCTCGTCTGCAAAATAACCATTTATACATTGAAAAATAGTTTAAAAAACTTATTATTTTTTTGAAATTCTTCTGGTCTTAATTAATACAAATTGCCAAGTTGAGCATGTAATAGTTATTATTTTATTGAAGTTTAGTTAGTTTGTCTTTCATTCAACAAAGGACGTTCGTTTTTCTCTGTATCAACCGACATATCATAAACATTAGAAAATATTTAATTTTCACATTCGTTCTTTAATTGAATTGAAATTGTAATCTCACTGTTGATACTAAAATGTTATCTTTTTAGATTTAACTATGGATTCAGATAAACGTGAATTGTTTGTTGTTCCGAAGAATCCAACTGCAGATGTTCAATCATCCAATACATGTAAAGTGTGTGGAGACAAGACTACAATTATGTATTTAGGTATTTCGTGTTGTTCTTCATGTAAAATGTTTTTTCGCCGAAATGTAGATCTTAATGTGGTAAGTCGATGTTATTTTTCAAAATCTGTTTCAGTAATTAATTTTTGTGTTGTGTAGGATACTCAGCATTGTGTATTTACTGGAAATTGTGATATAAATGTAAATAGTCGCGGAGCATGTCGATATTGTCGATTGAAAAAATGTTTTTCTGTTGGCTTACAAAAAGATTTGCTTCGTAGTTCATTTACTGCTCACAACTATGGTGGAATAACAAAAAAACAAAAAACTTCAACGAATGAAACAACAGTTGCTCTTCCAACTGTTATTCCAACACTTGATTTGTTAATTAATGATCGATCATTATTATCTTTTGATCAATGGTGTTTGCTGTCGAATGTTACTCATTCTTATGATGATCAATCTCCAATATTAGCTATACAGAATAAGATGGCATCTCAGTTGAATTATCCAGCAAAAATACGAATGAAAATGGCAACGGATTATTTCAAGTATATTGCTAGTTCATTATATCTTAGTGCAGGTCCATTTTTTAAAACAATGCCTGAAGTTGTGCATATGTCAACCAGTGATCAAGGTATTCTCATCGAACGAAATATTCGTAGTATGAGTGGTTTTGGTGCTATACTGGTATTGCGTGAAACTGATCTTTGTCAAAATCCTTACTATCACAATGCTTCTATGGCAGTTTATGGACATGAACTTACTCATCAAGCAATGAAAATTGTCCAACATGCAGATACTGATGGAATATTAATCAAACTCATGGTACCTATTTTAGCTTTGTCAACATGTTCGGATATTATTGATCCGAACTATCATGAGAGTGTTGGTGAGTATAAATCATAATTGAAGTGTTTCGAGGATTTGTATAAATTTGAATTGGTAGTATGTTTACGATATTTTTCTTCATCTAGTATTAATTTGCTGCTTCATGTAGATGGAATATTCACATTTATCTACTTGAAACTAAAACAATATTATAAAATATGGAAATGCGATCTATGTTCAAATCGAAAATGAGATTTTTTCCTATAGTTTTTGAAAAAAACTGAGTGTCTTTTTTGAGGATAAAAGATGAGAGAGAAGTTTTTACGTTATATTTTGTTATGATATACTTTTATATTTAGGTAGCACTTTATCGCCGGGAGGAACTCGTCTTTTTCCAAATACTTTACATCTTTTGATACTTCAAAATATTTATGTTGAAATGATGTTCAAATATATGTTATATCGATATGGTTTTAAAGAAGCAGTTTTAAGATTTGCAAGGCTTATTAAGACTTGTCTTGATCAAAATCTAATGGTCTGTGATGGTGAGGATCTTCGACAACATGATGAAATGGTACATTCAATTACTGAACAAACGGAACGATTGTTAGTATAGGATGGTGAAAACAACAAGTGGTATTTACAGTGATATCCAGCATGATGTATTGTTATAGTGTGAAAAGTTCTCCTGTCGTTTTTGTTTATCATTTGACAACGACAATCATTGTTATTGTATATTGTTCTTTTCTTTTCGTTGTACTTATGTAAACCATTCTCAGACTATTTTTGTTACGTTTTTTGTGTTTTTTTTCGTTCTTTATTACACAATTAAACCAGCTTATAGCTAGAACATTCATCAAGATTTTAAGTAAAAAACAATATATAGTTTATATGTACTAGACTCAAAAATCATTACTTCAGTAAATGTCTATAGACAAGCTTGATAATTTTTTAATAGATTTTAAATCTAATATGTCCTGATTCTACTGTTTTGGTGTAATATTATAGGTGCAAAAGTGGTTCTAACCGTATGTCAGTTTCTAGGTAGACATTTGTACAAAAAAGTTCAAGATTTATTTCTTCATGTATTGGAAAATGCTTATTTTATTCTGAACTATATTTTTTCCTTTTCTTGTTTATTTTATTTTTATTTCTCTTCTATTTGATACAAAATTGAAGAAAACAGTGTTCAATATGATTTTCAGTGCTTTTAAATCAAGTTGTTCAAGAATAATTACTTCAATGAAACTATTTTTTTAATAAATAAATTTTTTTGCTTTCTCGTTTATGCATAACGAGCTAAAACGTCGTGCACATGGTTTCTTTTTTTCGTTAAGGTGAAAAGAAACGAAAATCTATGCATCAGTGATCACCATGTAAAAAAATAGATATAAACATTTCTTTTTATATTCGTTTATATTCATCACTCATATAATCAATTGCCCATTTTATCACAATCATTCTCACAGATTTTTTAAGGATACGTAAGTATGATCATAATATTTTTATTTAATATATATCCTACTTAAATGAAACGAAAACTATCCGCTGATTATTAAGGAATATATAAAAGAAAAGAATGATTTTTTAACCTATTTCTTTATTGATAATTTTTACCGATAGAGAATACTAATAATCGATTCACTAAACATTAATATTTATACACTCAAAGTAACTTCAGAATTTTAACCGTTCCCCGAAATATATGACTTGAAAAGTGTATAGTCGTAGAGATTTTTCACAATATAAATGCACAAAGTTTTCATTTAGACAGTTCAGTATTATTTGCACATTATATCCTAGAATATTTCGTATTTATTTCGTCCGCATTTAATAATTCTAAATACCCACCATCGTTACTAAAGGATCGCTCAGTATGAACGCGAACGAAAGCACTAGTCTTATGACAGCAACAGATCATAAGGAAGAAGTTGCTGTAGAAGAGCCTGATATAAAACTTGCTGAAATGGGTTACAAAGCTGAATTGCCACGCTCATTATCCTTCTTTTCTGTACTTGGGCTTTCATTTGCAATTATGGCTGTACCTGCTGGTGAATCAGTAACACTTAATATTGGCCTCACCGATGGTGGTCCAGTAACTATTCTCTATGGTTGGATATTAGTTACTATCATTTCAATATGTATTGCTGCAAGTTTAGCTGAAATTTGCTCAAAATATCCGACTTCCGGAGGTGTTTATTATTGGTCTGCAATGTTAGCAAATAAAAAATGGGCGCCTATTACTTCTTGGATAACAGGATGGTTAAATCTTGTCGGAAATTGGACACTGACAACTGCCATCTGTTTTGCTTGTGGGCAATTAATATTATCGGGTATTGGATTATGGGATGAAACCTATATTCCAGCAACTTGGCATGTTGTATTAATGTCTTGGACTGTACTACTTATTTCCTTGTTTATAAATATTTTCGCTGCAAAACACTTGGATTTCATTAATATTATTTGTGTTTATTGGACAGGTGTATCAATTTTGATTATTGTCATTAGTGTATTAATAATGGCAAAAGGAGGAAGAAGAAGTGCAACATATGTCTTTACAGGATTTGATGCAACAAGCGCTGGTTGGCCACCCGTATGGGCATTTTTTGTTGGATTATTACAATCTGCTTATACTCTCACTGGCTATGGTATGTTAGCATCAATGTGCGAAGAAGTACAAAACCCAGAACAAGAAGTACCAAAAGCGATGGTATATTCTGTTGTTGCTGCTGGAATTACTGGCATTATTTATATTATTCCTATTCTTTTTGTCATGCCCAGTATCAGTAAACTACTCAGTATACCAACTGGTCAACCAATTGGTTATCTCTTTATGGCAGCTACAGGTTCTACTGTTGGTGGACTTGGTCTTTTAAGTCTTATTATTGGTATTCAATTTTTTGCTGCAATTGGCTCTTTAACAGCTACTTCTCGATGTCTTTATGCATTTAGTCGAGATGGTGCAGTACCCGCTTCAAAATTTTGGTCAAGAATCAATAAACAATATGGTATTCCACTCTATGCTTTATTACTTTCAACTGTTATTCAAGGTCTACTTGTTTTTATTTATTTTGGTTCATCAGCTGCATTTAATGCATTTACTGGAGTTTCTACAATATGTCTTTCTGCTTCATATGGATTACCTATCGTAATACTTGTTTTTCGAGGACGTCATTTAGTTAATAATGCTCCTTTTTCTCTTGGTAAGTTTGGCTACGTTATTAATATCGTTACAATTCTGTGGATTTTATTGGCTATGGTGATATTTTCAATGCCAACATCTATACCTGTGACAGCTTCGACAATGAATTATGCAAGTGTCTTATTCATTTTCTTTGCCGGAATTAGCATCTTATGGTATATTGTTTGGGGAAGAGAACATTTCCATGGTCCACCAGTGACTTCTTCGGATTAGTTTTGATACGAAAGAATTGTGTGAATAAATAAAAGTGTAATGTTAAATATAGTTAAGTAATTAGCATGAGCTTTACAGCGATGATGTGACTGTTAAAAACGACGCATATCCATACTCTCAATTTGTAATTTTTTGTAAATTAAGCTTATACTACTTCAAGTGCGTTTTTTAAGTACGTCTTTGCCCCGATGGCAAATAACTGATAGGTTTTTTACAATAATTATATGTAATGATTATATTGAAACATGAAGAGTGAGTGTGAGAGTTAAATATAACATATATATTCACACTATTGCATAGTCATTTTTTTCATGCTTTTGAAAAGAAAGAGAGAAGTCACCGATCATTGATATACCTTGGCAAATAGTGTCAAGAATGAAAGTGGTGTGCGACCTTATCAAACTCTGTCAGTATCTTTGTTTGCTACAATGTGCATCTAAAAGATAATATAAATTATTATATCATATATTTATGGGCATTATATTTTTTTTATAAAAGCGCACATATACGACCATATCTACTATTTAGAGTAGTCGGTTATTCAGAAGAAAGTAGAGAAGTATTTGTAAACAATACAATAAATTACAATTATGAATCTTAAAGTATACAAAGTGGATGCATTTACTGATCGATTGTTTAGCGGCAATCCAGCGGCTGTATGTCCATTAGATCAATGGTTACCTGATTCATTAATGCAAAAGATTGCTGCTGAAAATAATCTTTCTGAAACGGCATTTTTGTACCGAACGTCAACAATGATGGATATGAACTTCGTTGGTTTACACCTGAAGTGGAAGTAGATCTTTGTGGACATGCAACATTAGCGACCGCTCATATCATTTTCACGGAAATGTCATTTATGAATGATGAAATCAAATTTCAAACCAAGCAAGCTGGTGAACTTACCGTTACACGTCAAAAACATAGTGCTTTATATACTCTTAATTTTCCAGCTTGTCCAGCAGTTAAAATTGATTTACCCGATGGACTGCTATCTGCCTTGGGTAGTGATGTATCGCCCGTGGAAGTTTATAAATCAAGAGACCATATGCTTGTTTACGAAAAGGAATCTGATGTTCAAAAATTGTCACCGAATTTTATGGCTTTAGCCAAAATTGATACCATATTTGCTGTGATTATTACTGCTCCTGGTGACAAAGTCGATTTTGTTTCGCGACTCTTCGCACCAATTGCCGGCATCTCTGAAGATCCTGTTTGTGGATCAGCACATTGCAGTTTAACTCCTTATTGGGCTGAACGATTGGGCAAGAATCAATTACACGCGTACCAAATATCGGCACGTAGAGGTGAACTTTGGTGTGAAAACAAAGGTGATAGAATACTAATATCAGGCAATGCAGTTACCTATTTAAAAGGGGAAATAAGCGTCTAAGTTGATACATTAATCTTATAAACGAATAAATTCAACCTTTTTTTTCGAAGTATTAAAATAAAGAAGAAAACATAATTTATTCACACTAATAAATATATGAATACATCAATTACTATACGCTTTGTATGTCTAAATGACATAAATAGCATGTTTAAATAATCAAACAAAAAAAGTTATTGATCATTTATTTTTATCAAAAAATATAATACAATGAAGCTTTCGGCACCTTTCATAGGATCATTTTTCAACAGTAATATTTGCGAAAGAAATTTTTAAGTATATACGAAGATAGCAACTGGCTTGTTTTTCTATACTTTTTTAGTATTTTCTTGAGGGTGTGAGATATAGAACGGACACCCAATCAATTGAATCGTCTCCGTGGCTTATCTTTTGATGATGAAAAAAATCTTTACGTTGTTGATTGGGAAAATGATTGAATTCAAAAATTTGAAATAATTCTGTAAATGAAATGTTTTGTTAAATAAAAAATTGAGAAATAAATAAAAAAGAAAAAGTATAGTTATATTATTGAAAATCAATGAAAAAAATCCAATAAATCTTGAAGAAGAACAAATTTTTTAATAAGAAAAAAAGAAGAGAAATCCTTTTGGAGTTTTTTCTTAAAAATTGAATTTAATTCTTCTTGAGGATGTAGGAGTGGTTGTAATATATCTATCCTATATATACTCACTCACACCCAGTCTAAACTTGAACATTTCAGCAAATCGATATTATGGTGTTTTGTTTCCAAAATCAAATCTAATTAATTAACGATTGCGGTTTCATGACATATTTTATAGATCAACTTTTCTAAATTCCTTGGAGCACTTTCCTTCAATGAAGTTCACTCTTAAATTTATGTCATTTTAGAAAGTAGACTAAGTCTTGAAGCATTGCCTCTATACGTTCTTTTAGTCTATAAAAAAATATCATAGACGCAATAATAATAATCATTTACTATCTAGACAGTTCGATTTACGTCAGTCTGTTTATTAAAATTTTCACAATTTCCTTCATAGATATTATATCTGCAATTTGATTGGCTCATCAAATACTTCTATGACTACTGAGAATAGATTCAACTAGTTTGTCTATACATCGACGAGAGAAATTTTGCAGTTTTTTTTTCATCGCCACTGATAATTAAGAAAAATAAAGGTCAAACTGATTTCTCACACTTATGCTTGTTTACCGTTGTGAAATGCTTTTAAATAGTTTAATTTCAACATAAAATTCGAATTTGTTAAAAGAATTAGAAATATCCAAATCAAGGAGAGTATCCAATAAAAAATACGTTTGAAAGACTAAAAGCATTTAAATCGAAATATATTACACATTCAGTAAAGCCATTTCATTTATCTTTGAAATGTTTCAGTCTGTCATTCTCATTTGATTCTCTCCAGAAATTATGTGGGTAGTTGTTTTAACTATGTCAGTTTCTTAGGAACGCATTTACAATAAAAAAAAAGAAAAGGAAAGAGCATAGAGTAAAAGTAAGAACAAGAGAATAATTTCTTTTCATCAAACACACTAATTTATTAATTTGAGTACCTTTCGGTATTTAGAAAAGAATTTATTATTTTCTTCTTTCTTATCAATTGATGTTAAACAGAATAGAATTTATTATTTTCTTCCTTTTATCAATCAAAGGGAAAAGAAATGAAGATATAAACTATATTTCTTGTCAAACATTAACTTGTTTTTCATCGAACGCATCTTCAATACTATTACATTATTACAACGGAAAGAAGAATGTCGATCAACAATACTTCAATCAAATTTCAATTACCATCATTTGACAAAATTTCGGCTATTACACAAAATCTTTCCTTATATGGTTTCCTTTTCTTATTTATCTTTGGTTTTGTCGGAAATATTAGTAGTCTATTTATGTTTAGTAGAACAAGTTTAAGAAAAGCTTCTACTTCTCTTCTCTTCATATTTCTTGCACTTTCCGATATCGGTTATCTTTTAACATGTATCTACGAATTTATCTATTATGGTTTCAATATTAAAGATCCAAATGCTGATAGAAATCGTATTAGTGCTCTCTGCCGTTTTCGTTCGTATTTTCAAACAACGTTCATGTGTTTATCATCGTGGCTTCTAGTCGCAATATCAGCCGATCGTTCAATACGAATTATGTTTCCTTTCAAAGTCAAAACTCTATGTACACGACGTCATGCAACATATGTTGCTACAATAATTCTTCTAACTTTCCTCGCTCTTAATGCTCATCATTTGACAGAAGGATTCGGAACAAATCAAGGTCAATTTGTCTTTTGTTATGCAGACTTTCGAAATACTCAATACCTTTATTTCTATGGTTATCAATGGCCTATAATTCTATCAGTTTTTCAAATCTTCTTGCCTGCTTTATGCATCCTTTTATTCTCATTTCTAATCTATAAAAATCGTCAACGCGCATCTACTGTTATTATCAGCGTACATCGAAGATTTTTGGAAGTTCAATTATTAAGATTGATGATCTCAAGTAGTCTTCTATTTCTTCTGACAACGTTTCCATTAGGTTTATGGAATACAATTGGACCAAGATTTTTAACTTTTGTAACAATTGAACAAATACATACATATATTTCAATACTCTATTTTATTCAATCAATTAATTATTCAATCAATTTCTATGTTTACGTTTGTTCAAGTAAATTTTTTAGAAAAAGATTTTTACGAATATTACATTTCAATTTTGGTCAAAAAATACATCCAGTTGTACAGGTTAAGCCGATTGCAAAAGCAGGACTAGATAGACAAATAATGGCTAGTGAACTCAATCAATTGCAAAAATGAGAACAATAACTAGTAATAAATGTGAATTATTGCAGCATAGGACGCCACAAATAGCTTGTCTCGTTCTATTTCAATATTTTTTGCCCAAATTAAAAAATTCAATGATGTTGTGTAGCTTTTCTTCTTTCGCTTTTTTTTGAATATTCGACTAAAAGTAATGTTTTGTTTTCTGTATCGATGTTCTCGTGTAACTGTCAGTATTAATTGATGTATTTATATTTTATCAAATTTTTCAATAGATGTCTTTGTAATACCATGTAGGAGGTGTGGGTATAGGTATTCTTCTCATTCATCTACAATGACGTGCTGTCAGGACTTTTAATCAATGATGGCTTTACACGAAGAAAATTATTCTTTATGGATAAATTCGTAATTGAAATAGTTCTAAAGGTGTAGCAGTTGTATTTATATACATATTTAATGAGAATTTAGCCAGACTATCAGAAACTGTTCGCTCAGCCGATTGATAAAATGTATTTGGTACTTGAAAGGTAAGTCTACGCCTATTTTGAAAGTTTTATACGTCTGAAGTGTTGGATTCCCGATTTTGTTAAAAAACAAGAATGAATGCAGCGAAAATAACATTACCACTTTCACTGTCCCATGTAAAAAAAGAATACTTGTTATACGCCCTTTTTTTAATTATTTTTAATATTATAGAATATTATTTATATTTTTCTGATATATCCTATATTTGAAGAATGGTCGATTAGTAACGTCTAGCAAATTCAGCTTAAGATATTCTATGCTACAAGCACGTCGTACGTGATGCGAAGACTTTTCAGTGAAAAGTATCGTGCATCATATATGATGCACCGGACAGTGAAAGTGTTACTAAATTGACTTTTTTTATTTTCTTGTTTTTATTATTACGGTCACTATAATAGTATCTCAGTCTTTCTGTTCAGTCACGCTTGAATATGAAAAATCTCGAATGTAATATAACTAATCTTTGGAGTGAAAATTGATTATCTATAAAAATAGTTCTCTTATTTTCGAGAATTTCTATGGTTTATATTTGAAACTTTTGTTGGGATGTACCGAATGATAGAATATATATTTTTAGCTATAATTTGCAATCAAATAATGACACGCGTGATATAGTTCCTTATAAAGATTTTTAAGAAACATTCTTTCTATATAATTTAGAAAATCGAATAGTTTTTTTTGTAAAGAGAGGGCAAAATATAAAAGGAGGATCAATTATAATCATAATGAAAACTTAGCTTATTCTTAGAAAGCATATAGTATATGATTTGATGTATTTTCATCTCATCGTGCCAACAATTAAAAAATGCAGTTGTCTATCCTGTTTACGCCAAAAAATGATTCAAATAGTATATACTAATATTCATATTATCGTTGCATATACGTAGAAAATAGAATCTATCGAAATTTTATTATTATGATTTTAATTGAAGTATAAATCGTTCTTTTCTCAAAGATTTTTATCATTAATTTTCATATGCGTTAATAATCCCTATTCAAAAAAAAACATTTCTGTTTTTGAATGCTGAAGTATCTTTACTATTCATGTGAATAAAATGAAAAAATGTTAAAAGAAATATTTAGTAGGTATTATTCGAAATATTCTGATTTAAATAGGCATTATATTCGTCTACATGATTTCGTCAATATGAACTATTTTAAATGAGTTTTGAGAACAAGTCTAATATTGAAATCAGATAAATTTAAAAATAAAAGACACGTGTCGTTTTAAAAGCCAATTGTAACTAAAATAATTCCATATGTGAGCTAGTATTTTCTATTAACACAGAACATATATTTAAAACACTGATAAATTTTAAATAAGATGCTGAAGCAAATGTTTTCATTTCACATTCTATACATCTCTTGATAAAAAATGAGCATTTTCTAAAAATATGATGTTTTTCTGAAAGAGGAACAAATATTTTATTATATGGCAGATGATAAGTAGGATAATGAATAAAATCATATTTTTTTTGTTAGGAATATATTGTATTTGATTCTGTATTAATTGTCATGATCTAAAAGTCATTTCATAGTCTCAAGTTTTCAATACACTGAACTCTAAGAAAGATATAGTAATAACTCTATTAACTTGTCTCTTTTTTCGGAAAATAATAGTTTAGTGAGTTTCTTATGTCTATATTAAAATAAAAATTTGAAGAACATCGCGTAGTAGAATATAAAGTTTCTGTTAATTGTGAACTAAATTTTGATATTTCTCAATTTTAGTTCAAAACCTTACTGTAACGATAGTCTACTTGATAGGAGAATTATAATTAATATTATCATTTACAAAACACTTTTTACAAAAGATTATGTCTAGTTTTAATTTTTTTTTTCTCGAAACGTTGTATATTCCATTAAAAAGTGTTGATATTTAATATTGTTTTAACAATAATTACAGTTTATGTTGTTTAAAAAAATTTCCTTCTGCATTCTATTTAACAAAATTTACATCTGGCTATATTGTTTTATTAATTAGTTAAATAGAACGAAGCCAACTAACTGTGTTTCTATTGACATACAGTTTTTTTGTTGTTGCAAATATTCTATAGCGAAGAAATAGTAAACATGTGCACTGATAGTCCCACTTCTGTTAGAATAAAATGTAAAATATGAAATAGTTGTTATAATATTCATGAATATTAATTAACAAGATTAATCATTTCAGTTTTAGAATGAGAAAAGTAATAATTCCTATTCAATTTTGATCGTTTTAAATAACAATAGAGCTGAATTATTTTTAGTTTCACTTGACTATGGTTGATTGTTGTAAGTATAAATGCTTTTATTTAAAAAGAAAAGGAAACATTTGAAAGGAATAGAGGAAGTACAATTTTTTCATTTTGATTTTAGATATTAAAATTGTAAAACTGTACATAAAATGTCAATTATGAACAAAAACAAAATAGGAATTGATACTGTAATTTATTGCGAATAAAAAAAACTAACACCAAATAATTTTTTTTTATTTTAGTCTGAATCAGTGAATACTAACACAATACAATCAAAAACAAGGTTTGTATATATTAAAAATTATAATGAATAAAGAAAATGATCTTTTATTCTAGATGCGAATGTTTTCGAAAAAGAAAATGATTGTGGATAATATTTTCTATCATTGTTATTGCTGCGATCATAACAACTTCGATAATGGTTCCTAAAATAAAGAAGATCGATGCTGGAAACGGATCAGCAATAGAAACGATACTTCCCATAACAACGATAACAACAAAAGGTAATGAAGCAAAAAACATCATATCTTATTTCTTTTATGCTTTATTTGAGAAATTCAATAAGATAACAGTAATATAAATTCATCATTCATAATAATAAGTAGAAAATAAAAGTTAAATTAGTATTTTTTTTGATGTAACTGCAGAACATTTTCAAACGTTCAATTATTTTTTAGCAATATTTCAATGTATACTATAGACCTTAACGAATTATACTTATAATAATAAGGTTTATACTATTAACAAGATATGAAATATTAACTAAATTTTATCTATAAAAAATGACTTATTCACTAAAGCAATAGTTTTAACTTATGCTCTTAAACTTTTACCTACTTAAGGCTTCAACTAGATCAGTTTTTTCATAACAATTTGGAGAGTTTTGAGCAATATCTGTCTGAGAGAAATTATGCTGAAATACTTTTAAATTGTTTAAACAAGCTACTCTAGCTGAAACTTCAATTTGGTGAGAATTTCAACTCAGAATTTAGAAGTATAGTTTTACTAAAGGAGGAATATTAAAGACTTTATGAACGAAGTCTCTTGAAGTCTATCGAAATCCGCTGTTTTTTTAGGTGTAATAATATAAAATTGTATAATTTTCAGAAAACAAAATGCCTCATTCTCAAAATTTACTTATTGATCAAAGTTGAATAGTGAGATACAATAGTATCTGAGCTGATAAGTGCTCGAGAATATATGCGAGCGTAAATATCAATCTTCTTTTCACTTGCACCCCATACCTACTCTGAAGACTTTAATGAATTCTAGCGATAAATATAACAGTAGATACAATATTTATTACTCTAATAATAGGGCCAATGACATCGATAGCATCAACTACAATAATATCAACCAAGCCAAGTATAACAATATCACACAAATCAACAATAACAGTATCAACCGAACCAACTACAACAATATCAACTACAACGACTACAACAACATCAATTAAATCAACTACAACAGTATCAACCGAATCGACTACAATAACATCAACCAAATCAACTACAACAAGCACATTAAGCACGGTAGCAACACCCGGTGAGTACTAAATCAAACAAAACACCACATGAGTTAAATATTGCTAGACCTTAGGGAAAAATTAGTAACTATAATTACCACTTATTTTAGTTGATAGATATATACGTATAAAGTGTGAGCATCGATTCAATCTAAACCTAAAATAATGTAAAATATTTGAATTTTGCCAGGTACTTAGAGATTTTGGTTTTATAAAGAATCATCTTATCAGAAGTAAAAATATTTCTTGTTCAAATTTGAAAGTGCTGTTTTTCATGTAAATATAAATCTGATGTTAGTCGATTTTCTTGTGATTTTTCTCAGAAAAATGATTATAATCTGTTTTCAAGCTTCTTTTTTTTCTTGTACGCGTGATATCGTTATTGAAGTATGTTAAATCTGAATATTTTATGCCGATTTACTTTGAAAGTTTTTAAAAGTCAATGAACTCGATTACACTTAAGATTTTATTTGTTTGGTTTGTGAAAAATACGAACCACTTTCATTTCTAATACATAATTCAGAGAAGTTTTTGATCATGTATTTATCCTTTATTTATTGATTAGTTTGTGGTATCTGTTATGGCGCCTCACCTAACTGTTGTTACACATGCCAAGACGTTATAGATGCTTACATAGAAGTAAACTGGGCTTACAATAAAGATGACTTTGAACAATGTAAGCAATGACAGAAGAACGTCTTTTTTCTACAGTTTTATGACTCATCCTTATGGAATGACGATAACGAAAAGATTTGGCACAAACAATTTCAATAGATTTAAACATTTTTTCCTTTATTTTCATCCTGTTATGAGTGAAATCTTTGTACCTCTTTTGCTTCTTTTTATCCATAATCAACATACAGAGTAATATGTATAACCTTACTTACTTTCAATTCATGTAACTAATTTTATTTAATGATGCTTTTGTTCTAATTTTTGATGCATTATTTGCTTTCGTTTGTTCTTGTGTCTTCTGTGCAATCAATTCAAAACTTTTATTCTATGTAGTTTCTTTTTGAGCTTTTGGTAAATGTTTCGTAACTCTTATATGTTGTTAATTTTTCTCTCTATAAAAATATTTGATTTGTATAGCTTCTGACGATCAATATGATAAGCGATTTCTTAGGGTTTGGATGACATGATAATCAGGGTGAGTCTGGGTGACGATTCATGTGAAGGTATGAAGGTGAAGTTGATCATCATCTTTTGTCTCACTCACGCCGCTGACTTGTTTCTCATTTATAATTGAAAAATCCATTTGAATCAGAGATGTCTATCTGTGCTTGGAAACTCACTGCTACTTAATTGTAAAGAATATTAGATCATTGATTTGTATTATACGACTGTAATTATATCTGAATAGAACGATTGCTACAAATCGATAAAATATGTCCATTGTCAGATTGTTGTCCTTACAAATATTGAATTTATGTATCTTCATGCTATTTCTCAGAAAAATTCATTGCGTTGTGATGGACATTTCTACTTCTCATATATCTGATAAGTTTCTATTTAAAAAATGAGCTTTGACAAAGCAAATTATTTAACAGACTCAAATAGAAAGGCATCAACCTAATTATAGTTTATTCATTGACATCAGCCATTTATTGATGATGATAGTTGATATTTTATTTTCAGCTGAAACACATACAATAATTAATCTTGATTTTGATCAATTCTCTTCTGTTTTCATCATGTTCTTCTTCATTAAAATCAACAATGAGTGTGGGTGTAGGTGAGTGGGTGTAATGGGTGTGGATGTAGGTATAAATACTATATTCACCTAGCACGCACGCATACCCTCCATCACCTATACCCCTTCTGCGAATACAACTTACTCTGATTCTTACATTCTACCTCCTGAAAGAGTTGTTTTTTTGTACATTGTTACACTTTTTCCCGGGAAAAAACTTTTCCGTCATCATAGTTATGTTCTCCTTATTGGAAGAATGTTTTTTACTCGCTTCTGCATTCTCCCTCTAGAAAAAAACTTATTTTCTCTCATCCTCAGATTCTTTTCCGGAAAAGAAGTTTGTCTACCATCATTCATGCATAGAGGTGTAAGCCGTCGGCTTGAGCGCCCGTCGGCTCTAGTAAAAACGTCAGATGCCAGTCGTCGGCTGCAGCAAAAATGGACTGACGGCTTACACCTCTATTCATGCGTTCTCATTGGCAGATGGTATTTTTTTTGCTCTTATTTCTATACTCTCCTGCCTGAAAGAAATGTATTTCTTTTTACGTCAGTGTTTTACGCAAAAAAAACTTGTCTATCATTGGTCTTATAATCTACATATTGGAAGAAATATTTTTTGCTCTCATTATTACATTTTCTTTTTCAGAAAAAATTATTATCACTCTCGTACGAAGAGAAGGAAATTATTTCACAAGTCAGTAGTAAGTAATAAATGTAATGTTGTCTTTTTGTCTTTCAGTGGATAGATGTAAAGACCAAAGATGCATTCGAGTACTTATCGATTCAGTAGAATTTTCAACTAGTCGAGCTAGTAAGAGTGAGCAAAACAGCTTCATCTTCATATAACTTAGCGCTAGTATAAAAGAAATAATCTACTTTACCACATTAAGTACCATGCGAATTTTAGGATTTAACATAAGAAATAGTGTGAAGACATCTTGAGAGTGGGTGTGTAGATGCGAATGTATGTGTTAGGTGAATACAGTATCCATACCCACACCCACACACCCTCAAAATAGTATTTAACTATTTTAAAAATTGTTATACAGATAGCTTTTCGGATCTCACTACGTTAGTCAGATTACTGTACCAAAATTTTGAGAACAAAGATAGTTTTGACAAGTTCGTATTGCATCTGCCAATAGTGACTTTAATTGAAGAAAATAGCTAGAGAAAAAAGCTGAGTTTGAATATTATGGACACCTGTTTCCCGCGCCGCAGGATAATAGAGAAGGAGAGCTTATGATTTCTACGCTTAACTGTTATCTCGATTTTTTTGCAGAGCCTTCTAAAGAGGAAGAGTAGACAAATAAAAAGTGACTCATGCTTTTCTTTTTTCTGTTTCTGACTGTTTCTTATCATATATATAATAGCTATTTCACTTATTCAAATTTTATCTTCCTCTTCTATCTTATTTATTACTCAATAGATCGTAATATGTGTATATTCTCGTGCACTTCTCGTTACATTTCAATCACATTTTCTTTTGGCATTAATACTAAAATATTAGAAACTTAACTTGAAAATTCTAAAACGCAATCGTAGCCGAACTTTTCATTAGCATCTTTCACAGCGGACTTATTTTTTTTCATAAAAAAAATGAAACTCTATCGCAAAAATCAATTACATTTTGAGTGTCATTAATGGTCATAACCTCCCCTCTCTCATATTAGAAGCCCCGAGGGGCTTTTAATTTGTCCATCGTTTATAATTTCTGCAGAAGGCTTCTATTAAGTCCCAAAACATTTTTATAGACCATAATACGAAAATCGATTCGAAAGATTTCTAAATATTTTCAAGGTTTTCATGTGTTTTTCAAAAGATTTTAGACAGCTTTTTCAGATTTAAGCACAGTTAGATAGAAGTTAGCGAAATTTCACCTTGAAGTTGGCAAATTTGAAAAAAATCTTCAAAACTTCAAAAGTTTTTTGAAAAAAATAGGGGGCTTGTAAAACGGAGAGGAAGGGGGTTGAATGATATACACATTCACATATTATTAAATAGTTTTGTAGACTGCTTCATTGAAGTAATAAAAAAGAGTCAGGTTTCGTAGGTTATTGAAATACACATCTGTAAAACACTGATGAGTACAGCTGCCTAAGTAAATTTAATCTTTTTCATGGCTAAGACCATACATAGTCTTGAAGCTGCAGGGACCGGCCGGTTCGAACCCAGACCCAAATGAACGATGAATATTCCCGTTGTTTATTGATTTTGTTCAAAGAAAAAGCTAATATACAGTTATATCGTGTCGTCTTCACTTTCTTAGTGCTGTTTAAATTCGAAGATAAACTTGAGTACGTATTCGATCTAATAGGTCCCTAATCAATCGAGATTTTAAATAATATAGGTTTAGTTTAAAAACAAGCGTTTCTTTTTGGGATCAAAATAATTTTAGATTCTAGAATGTCAAGTTTTGTCGGATTGTGTATTAGGATTGCTTGTCCTGAGTAGTACCCATACCTCAGTTATCTACACAGAACTAGAATCTTTCGCAACACTGTTTATGATATAATGTGTACATTCTTTCAGATCAAAATATTCGACGTAATCAAAATGACAGAAACATTTAGTGATGCTTATGATGAAAAAATTCGTCCGCTTATGGACAGAATCGATCAAGCACGATCGTTGTTATCATCAAACATGGATGGCATTAAATTTCCTAGCGTTGTTGGGGGTCATTCAAGTATTACGTTATCAAGTTCAGGGGAAGGAGGGGTCGGCAAAAGCTTACGCTCAATGGTTTTGATTCATTAAAAAACAAAGGATATTGATGATTTGGGGGAGGCTAGGGGGTCAAAACGGCTAAAAACTGGATAACGTAATACTTGAATGACCCCTTGTCGTTGGTGATCAATCAAGTGGTAAATCAACATTGTTGGAAGCATTATCTTTAGTCGAACTTCCAAAAGGTTCCGGTATTGTTACTCGATGTCCATTAGTATTACGATTACGTAAATCAAATGCACGACAAGTATATCGTTTACATGATGATAATTCAAAAACTCCACTTGATGAGTCAACATTAAATATCTTAAAATATATCGAAGAAGAAACTAAAAAATTAGCTGGTAACCAGAAAAACGTTGTTAATAATTTAATTGAATTGCAAGTAGAAGATCCCAATGTACGCGATTTGACTGTTGTGGATTTGCCTGGTATAGCACGAAATCCTATTGCTGGTCAGCCTAAAGATATTCATAAACAGACAACTAATTTAATTAAACACTTTATTAAACAAGAAGGCAGTGTCATTTTGTGTGTCTTTCCAGCTAATGTAGATGTTGCAACAGTTGAATCATTTACATTAGCAAGTGAAGTCGACCCAAACGGTG